ATCCCTGCATTACTAATCCCTGCATTGCTAATCCCTGCATTGTTAATCCCTGCATTACTAATCCCTGCATTCAACAAGTTGTGTGGTGTGCATAGTGGTTTTTTATATTTATAAGGGATAATGCCCAAGTACTCCCTCAACCTATGCCCGAAATCTCAGAGACACACTTCTACTATACTAAGGTCCTATTACCCCCCTGAACTTATTTTATTAATAACTTTTTACCTCTTTTTAGCTTACGTGGCACTATCTTGTGGGCCCAACGATGGTTGACTTTTTTTTTTGAACTAGTGCCAGGTAGACTAAAAAGGGGTAGAAAATTACATATAAAATAAGTTCAGGGGGGTAATAGGACCTTAGTATAGTATAGGTGTGTCTCTGGAATTTCGGGCATAGGTTGAGGGGGTACTTGGATATTTTCCCTATTTATAATCTACAAATATTTAATTTAAAATTTTAACATATTCTTAAATATTTTTTATTTTTAATTATATAAATTCATCTTTTTTATTTTGTTAGAACTCTATTAAAAAATGCCTTATTCTTTTCATTTTATAATTAAAGTAGTAACATGCTTATATCATAATGGGAAAATTGTATATAATGGCAAACTAATAAATCAAATTAATTGCTATAACCACCTTTTGATTTAATTGTGTCCCGTAGCAAACTGTTTGCCAGTTACCACTCTCCCTCAAACTCTCCCTCGCCACTCTCTTCTGTCGCGCCATCTCTCGCTCGCTTCCTCTCACTTTTATACAACCACAAGTGTATAAAATTTGTTTCTATTTGTATAGAGCGAGAGAAAATTATATAAGTACATATATTTTTGTTCCCCCTATCTCCCCTCTCCCAGATCTCGCTGTCACTCTCCCTAATCTCACTCGCCACCCTCGTCTCTCTCGCTTATACAAACCGAAACGAAATGTATAAATTGAGTTTCTGTTTGTATAAAGCGAGAGAAAATTGTGTGTACATGCAAATACATATATTTCATCCTATACACTTATAATTATACAATAAAAATACTCTCCTATCCAGTTTCTTTTGTCTTTCTCTCTTTCTCGTTTTATACAAATTCAAATTGTATATAATGATCTCTTTCTCGTTTTATACAATTCGATTCAATTGTATATTCCCTGCCAAATCTCTTTTGCCTTTCTCTCTCTCATTTTATACAAATTCAAATTGTATATAATCGTTCTATACACTTATAATTATACAATTTTTTTTACACTTCATTTTATATAATTCTCTGCCTAAGTCTCTTTTTCTTTCTCGTTTTATACATTTCGTTTTATACAATTTACTTCAATTGTATATGTATAGCGAATTATACATATATATGTTTGTTATGGAGTGCAATTATGCAAACTTTGCTATAATATATAAATATAAATTTTATTTTTGCTATATGTGAAAGTTGCCGAGAATGATATTATTTGATTTATACTTTAATTTATCTTGATATAGAAGGCTTGTGATTTATTTATTTTTTTGTTAATTATGGGAGAAGGTGTCAATCAAAACTCAAAAAATTGTGTACATATTTCTATATATTTTACTTATATTGTTATGATTAAAATTTTGCGAATAATGTGTATGGTGTATCTTGAATAAGGAAATAGAGTTTTTTTTTTAGATAATTTCATTTAATTTGAAATTTTATTCCAATTGAAGAGTGTGTGTGTATGTTTCACAACGATGAGGGTATAAATGGATGGATAGTATGACGAAGGTTAAAATTCTCTGCTAATTAAAAGTCAGGAGGGATATTTTTGACCTTTATCTCTATAGAAATTGTCGCTATAAAATTCAAAATTTATAAAATTAAAATTCTAATTTTGTCTCTATATATAAAAAGAAAAAGTAGAAGAATATGAGTTCATATCTTCTTTTTTTATAAATAAATTTAAAAGATACTAAATGATAAAAGGAAAAGAAAGCTTAAATATGTCATCGACGTTTGAGAAAAGCTTTATTTATGTAACTATTTGTTAATTAAAAAAGCTCATCTGCGTCATTTGATTGTTAACCAAAAAGGCTCATCTACGTCATTATTTGTTAAATGAAAATAATTTGATCTTTTTTTTCCACAAGGTCAATTATGATTGTTCAGGCCCTGAATTAAGTTATTTTTTGTCAGAGAGAAAAGTCTCAAAGTATGTCATCGAACTTTGAGAAAAGACTTATTTATGTCAATTGTTAAACCTCTTGCTCATCTATATCATATTATTTAACAAATAAATGACATGAATGAGCCTCCACTCAAACGAAAGTCATAAATAAGTCAATTTTTTAACGGATGATATCAATTAGCTAAACTTTTCACAAATAGTATAAATAAGTCTCTTCTTAAAATTCGATAATGTAACGAATGTTTATTTCAAACATACTACTACTATGTAGAGACGTATATTGGGTAAACATTAACCTTATATAATTGCCTTTTAATCACGGTATATAATAAATTCATGAACCTACAATAAAGTTGTAAAAAGAATACCAACAATATAATGGGATTAATGTGTGTTGATCCCCCCCAGCCTCTTGCTTCCAACAACCAATCACTGAATTCCTTATTTCCAAAGTAATTATCTCTTATCACATGTTAAATCCTTTGGTTACACCACGTTAATCCGTGATCACACTTCACTTTATTTTTTATTTTTATTTTTTAGAACCACTGATTTAAATTCATATAAAATTTGTTAAAAAAAAAAATTATCGTGGTAATAGTCATTTTATCCTATCGTAATCTTGATCGTGACTTCTTCACTTAATTTTATACTAAATTTAAATTTGATCGTGACTTCTTCACTTAAATTTTATACAAAATTTAAATTCAATTGTTACCTAAACGTTGTATACTTCATATAATCCTAATTTGTTTCAAATGCTGACAGCGGAAAAAATAATTAAAAACATTACATCATAGTCAAAATTTTAATAAACTATATAATAAATTAATAGAGATATGTGTCAAAAAATACATTTAAACTATTTCATTTTTTAAAATTTTATATTTAAACTATTGGTGATATGAGTTTCATACATAAAGTATTACTTATTAGTTTGAGGAACACACCTCAATAACATGTGTAATACTACTCCACCTCATCCACTTCGATTTTGTTTTTAGTTTTTTACATTTTTTTTTCATTTTGTGATATATATATATATATATATATATATATATATATATATATATATATATATATATATATTAAT